TAATGTAAGTTTTTATTTACTTATTTGTATTAAAATATTTTATTTGCAATAAATGAATAATTAACTCACCGGATCCTTTTGATATTATTTTTTTTTAAGATGTCGAATAACATTGAAATGTTTGAAGATACATCTGAAAGCACTCGTGGACCTGGATTATCTGTTGAAAGTACTACGCATGATGGGGATGGAGGTGGTGGAAGTTCTCAACCTACTCAATACCAATGTAAAAAGAGGAAAACTATGCAAAAAAGATCACAGGTTTGGGATCATTTTCAGAATTTTATAGATAAAGATATGAAAGAGAAAGCTAAGTGTGTGCATTGTGGGAGAATATTTGGTTGTGATTCTAATAATTGGACTACTACACTTAATGCTCATTTGAAAAAAATGCAAAAAAGACTCAAACATAGATCTTAAGCAATCACAATTGATTTTGCCATCCGGACAAAGTTCATGTCTTAGTGCTTGGAGTTTTGATCAAGAAGAAGTTAGGAATGACTTAGCTCATATGATTATTGTTGATGAGTTACCTTTTAAGTTTGTTGAAAGAGAGGGATTTCAATATTTTATGTGTAAAGCTTGTCCTAAGTTTAAGATTCCATCTGGATGGACAATTTCACGTGATTGTTTTAAGTTGTACGAGGATGAGAAAAATTTGTCCATGACATTGTTGAAATCTACAAATCAAAGAGTATGTCTTACTGATACATGGACTTCGATTCAAAAAGTGAATTACATGTGTTTGACAGCTCACTATATTGATAATGACTGGAAATTGGTCAAAAAATTCTCAATTTTTGTCCAATTTTTAGTCATAGAGGTAGAGACATTGCTTGGGAAATTGAGAAATGCTTGCATGATTGGGGTATTGATAAGGTGTTCGCTGTTACTGTTGATAATGCTTCCTCGAATGATGTTGCCCTAGTTTTTTTAAAAGAAACTATCAATCAATGGGGGTGAAAACATCAGAAATTGTAACCATATGCACATGAGATGTATTGCTCATATCTTCAATTTGGTGGTGCAAGATGATTTGAAAGAAATTGGGTCTTCTGTGAAGAAAATTAGAAATGATGTTCGATATGTTAGGTACTCGGGATCTAGATTGAACAAATTTAAAGAATGTTGTGAGTTAGAAAAGATATCAAGTAAAAGTTTATTGTGCTTAGATGTTCCTACCCGATGAAACTCAACATACTTGATGCTGGAAACAGCAATTGCATTTGAGAAAGCTTTTTCTAGGTTTGATGTGCTAGATCCGATTTATAGAATTGATCTTGAATCTAATGACGGGGTGCCTAGTAAGGATGATTGGATGAAAGCAAAAAGGATGATGAATTTTTTGAGGATTTTCTATGAGGTGACTTGTAAGATTTCGGGGTCTTCATACGTTACTTCTAACTTGTTTCTTCGTGAGATTTACAAAGTTCAAATTTTATTAAAGACTTTCATAGAAGGCAAAGATGATGAATTAAGTAAATGACCAAAAATTTGAAAGAAAAGTTTGACAAATATTGGGGAGATCCAACTAAGATGAATAAGATAATATTCATGGCCGTTGTTGTTGATCCTCGATACAAGTTGAAGTGGATGACATTTGCATTTTCAAGTATGTATGATGTTGAGTTGGCTAACTCAATTGCAAAAGAAGTTGAAGATGAGTTGTATGCTATGTGTGGTGATTACAAGCAACCAATTTTTATGGAAAAAAATGATGAGCAAGAAGAAAGAGAGTTGCCGAATGTTTGAATGGATGATGATAATGCACTAAAAGATGCGTTAAGAAAGGTGGGATCTATATATGAAACTTTTCATTAGAAAGATGATGGTAATGATCTTTTGAGTTTCTTAAAGAAGATATTGAGAATGGAGGACCAAAATTTGATATTTTAGATTGGTGGAAAAATAATGAATATAAATATCCCATACTTTCCCAAGTAGCCCGTGATATTATAGCAGTGCCCGTCTCAACCGTAGCATCGGAGTCGGCATTTAGCACTGGAGGACGAGTACTTGATCCATTTAGGAACTATTTAAGTCCTAAAGTTGTGGAGTATCTCGTTTGTGCTCAAGATTTGCTTCGTAAATCTGCTCCTTTCAATATTGAAGAAATTCGTCAAGATGTCGAAAAATGGAAAAAAGGTATTTTAATATTTAAGTTTTATGCATTATTTAAATTTTTTATATTTTACGTTGTGTATATAAATAATATATATTTTTTATGTAGGTATGAAATATTTATTACTTCTATCTTCAACAACGGTGTATATCTATCTATCTTCTGTGATGAAAGACGACAATATGTATAATTTCCATGTTTTTCTAAGTTCAATTCAATTTATATCTATCTATCTTCTTATTATAGGTTATTAAAATTTTTATTGACATCATTATTATTGTCCATTTTGCAGGTTTTTTCTCTTCAATCCGGAAATAATTGATTAAATGGTTAATGACGTTTTGAATTTAGTTTTGAAGTGAATGACCACTGAAGTGTGACTATGAATGAGTGAATTTTCTTGGTGTTTTGTTGCATTAACATATTTAATAGACTAATTTATGCTTACTTTGTTTGTTGAAATATGCGTTTAATTTGTTTGTTGCATTAAAATATCTATTTAATTACTTGTGTTTAGTTTCTTTGTTGATAAATGCTCGTAGTTTGTTCATTGCATTCCGAGGTTTATTTATGTCATATTTTATATATTATGATTTTGTTTTTTTTTAAAAAAAATATTATTTAAAAAAAAGTCTTTTTTTTTTCGAATTTTTCGGTTTGGTTCGGATTTTGAAATTTAGATTTTTTTCGAATTTTTCGGATTGGTTCGAATTTTTTATTTCGGATTTCGGATTTCAGTTAATTCGGTTCGGTTCTGATTACATTTTTCAAATATTTTGGATTTTCGGATCGGTTCGGATTTTGTCAAATCCGAACCGAAAATCCGAATGATCGCCCCTAGTCTTAATCAGCAAACTAACCGAAACTGTGATCAAGTGCGTGTTTGGTTTTAGTTTTAATTTTAATTTTAAATCGTTATTATACGAATAGTTTTTATAAAATATACTATTATTTTCATTTTCTTGAATAAAATATTATATCAATATACTATTTAAAAATGTTTGTGTGATTTATATATTAAATAAGCATTTGATGCTATAATTGACAAAATAAGTATATATATACATTGAAAAATACTTATTGAATTGAATGTTCAAAACTGTTGTGTTCAGCTTTTTTTTAAAAATAATTTTATCATTGATAATTTAGTTGCAAAATAGAAACACCAAATTTTCCAAACATTTAATTTTACTTATGGAATTTTTGTAATGATTTTACTATTTAATTTTTTTATATAAAATATTAAATTAAATACCTATTTTTTATTTATTATATTTCATTAAAATTTATTTTTTTATATTTAAAATATCACTCAACTAACTATTTGAATTCAAAATTTTATCATTCAAAACCAAAATTCAAAATCAAAATCCCACAAATAAACACCAACTAAGTTTGGAAAACTCATGTCGAAAGGAACCTATTACGTTTTCGATTTTTTAAAAAATATTTTCAAATGTAAAATATATTTAATTTTTTATTTTTATTTTTATGACTTAAATGAGTAAATATGCTCATATATATATATATATATTTAAAATTAGTATTTTTATAAAATTATTTTATATCAATTATAAATAACTATATTTATTTATATCTTATTAAAAAAATTATATTAAATATATTTATTAAAGATAGAGCTTATTTTTTACCATTTCAAATCAAAATCATTATATTCATTTGACTCAGTTTCCAATAAAAATACAATATCTTCTCTCGAAAAATCACATCAAAATATTATCTAAATAAAAATGTAAATCAATACACTCATTTTAAATCAATTTCAAATCACAACCAAACAAACTCCTAATTGTCTAAACATTAAAAATATAATATAATTTTTTTTATTTTAATTACATATACAGTAAATAATAATCAAATACTCCATCCATCCGTAATTAAATTAGTTGTATTTGTTGTAAATAAATGTTAAATAGAGAGTAATAATTAAATATGGATTTGCTGACTTTGCAAAATTAATAATGGGATACATATAACAGAGAGACTAATTAGTAAAATTTTTCAACTAATCGATTATTTTATTAAAACACACTTTATAAAATCAAGTGAACAAAGAAGGATCCCTCTAGTTCACTTATTATGGGTGTATTAACCATTGGGCATATGTTTCTTTTGCTCAAAATCCCAGGTTTTACTATTTGAAGTTTTGGACTCTGCATTACACAAAAAAAAAATACATTTTTTTCTCTCATAAAATATGTTATCATACATTATTTTAATATCAAATTCAAATTAAATTTTTTTCAAAGCCATCCAAAGAAACATATTTAAACGTCAATTTTAGTTTAGGTGAGTAGATATTGACCACTTGCCTATGGAAAGTCTAATAAATATTTTTAATGAAATAAACAGAAATAACATAAAAATTACTTCAGTTTAAATAAATAGAATATATATTATATTTTCTTTGTCCATTTCATAAATATATATTTTGCATTTTTTTTTTTAGTCTAATAAAAATATCCACTTTCACTTTTAACAACAGTAGGTTTATATATCATAAGTGTAACGTAATTTATCGAACGGTGGAAATATATTTTAATAATACTATTGTATCAATTCTTTTTTGTTAAGGTTAATACACCCATAATTATAATTAAAAATAAGTGAACCACAGGGACCTTCTTTGTTCACTTGATTTTATAAATGTGTTTAATAAAAACAATCGATTGATATAATATTTTATTATTATAAAATATAATAATAAAATATTAACATATATAAATTGTGATTGTACAAAAAAAATAATAATAATAAAAATAAAAATCCCAGACTACTTATCAACCAAAATACCAGAGCAAAATTGCAAGCAAAGATGGGAAACCATTAACGAGAACATTTATGAGCTCAAAATGCAGAAACAAAACAAAACTCCAAACTTAAGCCGCCCGCCAAGAGCTTCTCAACAAACAAAGTGGCCAATATCATTTACTTCATTTTTGCCATGGTTAAGAAAATTATTGGTACATGCAAATCGATCATCTACCACAGGCATACAGCATTCTAACACCACATTAAAATCACCAATCACACATATACGCCTGAAATGGACTTACCTCGTGTACCAGAACCTCACACCATCTGTCTGATTAGTCTGTCTTCTTCTCAAGTTTGTCGATAGCAGCTAATCTTTCAACCAGTGGAGGGTGGGAATAGTGATATGCTGAATACCAAGGATCAGTGTTCATAGCCGAAAGGTTCTCTTCCTGTCAAACACAAAATTAAGCTTGTAAGGGTAAGTTGAACCAATACATGAAGCTCTTGTCAAATTGAACTGAGATATCATTAATTAGTCAATTCTTGCTTGAATAGTTCGGGGACTGCAACGAGCTACAAATATATCATTGATGGAAAAGGGTGTGAATCGGAATTAGAACAGAGATTTATAACCCTTCAGATTTTTCAGAAATTGGGATTTCAAACATTATAAACTTAATCAAATGCAAATTTCACTGATTCAGATTTTGAAATCCAATTGAAGTAATCAGAAAAATAATTCACTGAAGTTAAACAACATATATATATATGTGTGTGTGCGCGCGTTCTTTACATGGATTTGTAATATAGAGAAGATATAGATCATCTTTATTTATATATAGGCCTTGAATTCATATTGAAATTACAGTACATTGCTATAATATTATTATGCTACATATATATCTTTTTCAAAACCAAAACTTCTGAAAGAAGGAAGAAAATTCATAACCAGAAGGAATGCACATAATAAGCATATTTAATGAATTGAGGCAGATTCATAACTGGAAGGGAGTTAAAAAAAATAAAATAAAATAGCATATTCATCCAATTTGAGACATTTTTTATTATTAAAATGATTCCTTCCAGAAAGAAAGTGTAAGTGAATCCTTCCTGCATGTAGTAAAAACTAAAGTTTACTCGTCTTTTAGGTTGGTCATTTTAGAAATTTCAAAAAAGCTTTCCAATTTTGACTAATTTGAATTCAAAGTTCTTTTTTGGGTTCTGAAATTTCAAGATTCTTAATTAACTACAAAGTCAGTTTAAAAAATAAAAATGAAAATCCAAAATTGCACACCCCAAATGATAATCGTTTCAAGGCTAGAAAGTGAAAGGATGAAAGGAGCTAATTATGAGTAGCGATAATCATACTCCATGAGAAAAACATTAACTGCCTTAGAATTTCTATGAATAAAGTTTGAGAAAAATTTGACAAGTTATCGAACCAATTTTGTGTTCAAACTCTGCTTGTTTAGTTTTTCAAACTCCCTTGTATTGTTCTAACGAGCTTGAAGTAGATAAGAGACAGCCAAGACAACTCATTCAGTATATGAATCAAAAAATAAGGATCAACCCCAATCACAGGGGTGGGAAATGGATAAAACCCATGTTTGTTCTAAATTTGTGATTGAATTTTTTCTTTTCAAACAAAATCAATGGCATAGTCAACACATAAGATGAAGAGATTTAAACTTGGAAAGCATGAAGAAAAGAAAAATAAATTACCTGCAGCTTGATGAGGCCAGCTCGAAGAGGTTCAGCATAGCCAAGTTTCCAAGCAAAAGCATCAGCCTTCATTCATGAACGAACAATTAGTGAAGCATAAATCAATGAAACACAAGTTCACAACGAGAAACCTATTTTCAGAGTTCAATTCAATGTTACCTGAAACTCGAAAGCTCGACTAACCAGATTGAGTAAAAAGCTCACAAGATGCTGGAAAGGTATAACTGTGTGCTGTGATGACAAAAAAGAATTTATTGATGCATTTAATAGAAGCCAGTGATAATGATGAATAAGTTCATATTCCCGAGGGGCAAGGGTATAACAAAATACCTGAAATATTATGAGTCCAATGAGGACTGGCTGTGTGTCAAACCCAAAACTCTCAAATAAATCTTTAGAGTTCCGAACAAGGGTAAAACCTCCAAACTGCAACAGTGTTAGGATCTGCAATTGCAGAGTAAACCACAAGTTTATCATCAAATGATATTCATTTACTAAAGCATCAAAGCAGGAGCTATGATATAAATAGCCTCGCATTCGTTGCCTGGTATAGCAACAGAGCATACAATTAAGAAATTTTAAACAGATAAACTGAGAAGCAGAGCTGGATCAGAGAACACTTCTGTTAGGCAATAGTTTGCACCAAAAATTTACTTTCCTTTATGTAGAGAAATAGAGGGACTATAAAGTTATATTACTCCGTCAAAAAAGAGAAGGGAAGAATACATATATATAGAGGTATTTAGAAATTATCCTAACAAACTAAGTCATAGATATGATATGATGGATATGAATAAATATATATGGATATGAATCTATCAAATCTAACACTCCCCCTCAAGCTGGAGCGTATAAATTAAACGATCCAAGCTTGTTGCAGATGGACTCGGATCTAGGATCTCTAAGAGCTTTTGTAAATATGTCTGCAAGTTGATCATTTGAGGACACAATTCATATCTATAGATCCAGATAACACTTTCTCCCTAATGAAGTGACAATCTGTTTCGATATGCTTTGTTCGTTCATGAAATACTGGATTTGATGCAATGTGCAGTGCTGCCTGGTTATCACACCATAACTTCATCTTCGTCACATCACAGAACTTAAGTTCACAGAGCAATTGTTTAATCCAGAGAAGCTCACATGTAGCTAAAGCCATAGCACGATATTCAGCCTCAGCATTAGAGCGCGCAACCACATCTTGTTTCTTACTTTTCCAAGATATCAAATTGCCTCCAATAAACACGCAATAACCAGAGGTAGAACGCCTATCGATTGGAGAGCCCGCCCAATCAGCATCTGCATATCCAACAGTTTCAGAATGGCCATGATTTGTATAAAATAATCCTTTTCCGGGAGACCTTTAATATACCGCAAAATACGCATGTGCCTTCCAATGAGAGTCACATGGAGACTGCATGAATTGGCTCACTACACTTACTGCAAATGATATATCTGGTCGGGTGATAGTGAGATAATTAAGCTTTCCAACCAACCTTTTATATCGTCCTGCATCAATATCAATCAATGGGTCCCCTTGTCCTGGAAGCAATTTTTTATTTGGATCCATAGGGGAATCCACAACCTTACATTCATTCATACCTGTTTCTTCCTAACATATCAAGAACATACTTTCTCTGAGATAGGATAACACCATTCTTCGATTGGGCAATCTCAATTCCTAAGAAGTACCGTAGTGGTCCCAAATCTTTGGTCTGGAAATGATTGTGTAAATGCTCCTTTTAACTTTGTAATATCATCTCCAATGATGACAATATCATCAACATAGACATTAAGTAAACACATCGTCCTTCTAAATTATGCTTGAAGAATACGGTATGATCAGACGAACATTGTGTCATACCAAATTCTTTAATAGCAAGACTTAAACGTCCAAACCACGCCCGTGGAGACTGTTTCAAGCCATAGAGTGAACGACGAAAGCAACATACAAGACCAGACTCCCCTTGAGTAACAAAACCAGGAGGTTGCTCCATATATACTTCTTCTTGAAGCTCACCATGCAAAAAGACATTTTTAATGTCAAGTTGATAAAGGAGCCGACCACGCATTGCTACCATCGAAAGAAAAAGACGAACAGAAGACATTTTGGCAACGGGAGAGAAGGTTTCTGTATAATCCTCTCCATACACTTGAGTAAAGCCCTTTGCAACAAGTCGAGCTTTAAGTCGATCAATGCGACTATCAGGTCCAACTTTGACTGCATAAATCCATCGTCAAGCTACGGGTGTCTTTCTCAGCGGTAACGGGTATAATGACACATTAGGCTGAAGACATGTGATAGGAATCTTATGACCTAGTGCAGTAGAAGAAAGATGATTAATAAGAAGGTATGCTGTAAGGATAGCATCAGCCCAAAACTGAAACGGGACATTATAATGCAAAAGGATACGAGTTGTTTCTACTAAATAACGATTCTTGCGCTCAGCCACCCCATTTTGTTGTGGGGTGGAAGGGCAATAAGACTGATGAATAATCACCTAAGAAGACAAGAATTCATTAAATGAGTGGAAAAAATATTCTCTACCATTATCACTTCTTAAGACCTTAATAGAGGTGTGGTATTGTGTACGAATTTCAGCACAAAAGTTTTTGAATATAGTAAGTAATTCGGATCTATTTTTCAATAGATAAACCCAAGTACACCGACTGAAATCGTCAATAAAAGTACAAAATATTGAAAACCTAGGCTTGACTTAGAACGACAAGGACCCAAAATATCCGAGTGAACTAATGCAAGAGGTTCAAATGCTCTATTATTGACGCGCTTTGGAAAAGTAGTACGAGACTGTTTTCCAAGTTCGCATGACTCGCATGGTAACGAAGACAGTGATGAAAAATTAGGAAAAATACGTTTTAATTTTGATGAATTGGGATGACCTAATCGTTGATGGAACAATTCAGGAGACTCAACAGTGACAGTTGCGAGAATAGAAGATTGACAAGAATATAGCCCATGAGACTCACATCCGGTACCAATCGTCCGTCCCGTACTGTGATCCAGAATTATTAAAGAACTACCGGTCAAAAAAATAGTACAATCTAAATCTTTAGTAAGTCGACTAACAAATATGAGGTTAAATGGACTTTGTGGTACATAAAGAACAGACTCAAGAGATAAATTAGGTGACAGGCAAACTCTACTGATAGCTTGAGGATATGCTTTATCACCGTTAGCCAGAGTGACATGTGTTAGTGAGTTTGACGGATGAAAAGTAGAAAACAAATAAGGATTACCAGACATAAGATCGGTTGCACCGGAATCTAGTACCCATGAACCTAGTATCGATTGAGAAATACCGACAAATGAGGTCTGCGCAGTAAAAGAGGAGTCGAAACTAGTGAAGGATGACTACTTAGATGCCTGAAACTGAAATTAGCAACTGCATTTTTCGTACGAGACGGGCGTCCGTGAAGGCTATAGCAACATCCTTTAGTATGACCATTTTTATGGCAATAAGTACACCTTAAGCGTAGACATCTAGTACCAATTGATTTAAAAGAGTCGGCCATAAAAAATTAAAAGAAGAGAGAAATAAGAGAGCTTAGTAGAAAATTTGAAATTGGCAGCAGCGGCGACACGCGGCGGCTGAAAAATGTGGAAGCCTATCTAAACTTTAATTGGCTCTGATACCATATAGCGAAATAGAAGGAAAATAAGGTTATATTATTCCGTCAAAAAGGAGAAGGAAAGAATACATATATATATAGAGAGAGATATTTAGAAATTATCCGAACAAACTAAATCATAGATATGATATAATGGATATAGATATAGATATGGATATGAATCTATCAAATCTAACACTTTACAATCTTAAAGACATCATCACCCTTCTTAAAATCATTAAAGGAGAATGACTATTTTGGTAAAGTGACGTAAAACACAGGAACCAAGAAAATCAAATTACGTACAGATAATGTAAATATAAAGAAGATGATGTTTGCATTAAGTGAGACATGGGAAACTTATAAAGGGGGCCACAGATAGTATCTAGATATATATATATATATATAATACAACCTTAATATATATATATATGTCAGACGCTATATGTAAAATACAATTTTATTTTCTTACCTTTTCAGACACTATAAATTTTGGATATAAAGAATGCAAAGGTTGCAGAAACACTTCTGTTTCTTCTCCCAAACAAATAGGAGCAGAAGTTTCACATTTCCACACTTCATATAACAAATAAACATAAGTTATCAATTTTCTGCCAAAGCTAAGGATATCAATTGAGGTTTGAGTTGGTGGTAACTGCATAGGGGTTACCTTTTCAATGATAATTACAATCATACCCTTAATTTGCTACTTAAGTAATAGAAATACGAAAAAATGCTTGCCATACACAGTTTCTAAGGGTCTCATCCATAATAAATAACAGTGTGCACACACACAAGCTCACAAGAAAGTATAAATAAAAAAAAAAAACACAAGGTTAGACGTCTTGAGGAACGTTCAAAAAAAAAAAAAAAAAATCAACCCCATGCAACCAGAGTCCAATATTGTAAAAATTAATTTAATTTTGAAGATAAGTATTAAGGTTCCATACAAATTTTCTAAGAATCACCTAATACATCTAGACTAATTAGATACATCAATAGCTTCTTTCCACGAATAAACCAACAACTAAATGATTATCTAGGGACACCACCAGCATAATGCAGTAATGCACACTCATCCATGATACCATCAAGAAACTTCTAACAGAACAACTGATGTACCTGAACTGCAATGAATGAATACATTGTATGATTAAGTTTCCAGTGACCCAGTTCATGTGCAATAACAGCAACAACTTCTTCATCATTTTTGCACTGCATTGAATGTTGTATGAAGTCATAATCCAGGAGAGATCAAGAATAATGATGTTGATAAATGAAAAACAACACGACCTCTAAGGAAGTTGTAAAACCAAGCTATAGTTCTCCTTCTATCAAAATAACAGATATCAGATCAACCATCAATTAAGGGTTGTCCATTTGAAGATTTTTTTTTTTTTTTAATTTCTATTATTCTACTTTCACGATTCCCTGTAAAAGTATATTATTCATTCACAAAACATCATCCCTAATTGTTGAACAATTCATGACTGGGTTTCAACTCTCAACTCATATGTGAAAGAAAAGCTGTGCAGTGATAAGTTCAAATATCTACTTGGGACGAGAATATATACCAAGAAGCATTCAACCATCTGGTTTGGTAAGGATAGGTTATTTTGCTTTAAGAAATCATAGGTATAGTTGGATCCATTTTTCTCTCATGAAAAATAATAAGAATAATAATAAAGTAAATAATTTAACATAACCCACTCAACATATTTATTCCAAGTATAAGCTACTGGTTCATTTATAAATTTACAAGGTTTTGACAACTGATACTTAACTAAATTTTAAACTTTACTCTGCAATTTATGTACACCAACATAATACTATAGTTTCAGAAATGCCACCTTTACCATTTATCAAACTTTTCAATCATAAAATAATAGTTATATATATATATATATATAAATACGAAAACAATCACATTAATCCTTAAACCATAAAATTGGGAACCACAGCATCTGGAACACTTTAAACATTATAGAAACATATATACAAGGTCCAAACAAAAAGCTCATATTTTCATATTAACAAACCTAATATAACTATAACATACTTAACAATCAACCTTAGCAGTCCAAGACTTCAACAAATTTTAAATTGCTGACAGATCAACAGATCAAACTTTGATGCATCAGAATGCATAAATTCTTCACAGCCAGAATCATAAAAAACATGAATAGAGAGAAATACAGTTTTATAGACTTAGCAACTAGAGGCATCATATAAGTTTCAGAGCAGACACTTGTCAGTTATCACCAAGCAAGTAGAACTTAATAAAGGACATAGTAATAAGTTTGAAATATGAACAGCATACCTGCTGTATCAACGTGTCATAAAGAACAATTCTTTTGTTCTTAAAAAATCCGTACATGTATGCCTGCAAATTTTGTTGAGGGAAATAAATCCACAAGCAAGAATACAAATTACAACATCAAGCATCTAGAGCAGTTAAATCATTAATGAATTATTGAACTCTAAGCCTAGTGCATTATTTGAGCTTCCTGCAGGAGACTCAAATCTTAATATCAATAACAGCATTCCAATTCTATTTTGAACTGCTATTATGTAGACATCAGTTCAGATGTACAAAATATAATGAAGGGCACTTCACATTTGAAGACAATCTTCAGAATCCAGGAGCTGAAGTGTATATCAGTAAGTAAATAAAGCATGGTAATAGTATACACAAGATCAATCACAATGAAATAAATTCAGAGGAAGAAGAAGCAGCAGAAGAAAAGTCAAAAGTGTACTCACATTGCTATGGCTTGACCTTGTTGATCCATCAACAACAAACAACTTCTTCAAAGGAAACTTAAGAGATGAAGCAAGATTCTCAATTTTCTCTCTAAGCCCCCCTTCTGGTAGCTGCTTGTTAGAATGAAATGTGAGAGAAAAATATTTCCATGAACTTTGTTAAGAATGGTAGCATATGACAAAATTTTTAAAAAGTTCATTTTAGAAACTAGGTCACTACTTACCGGAGTGAACTTGTTGAAAAGTGGCGCAATTAAAACTGGATAAATTGTCATCATAACAAGAGATACAACAAGCATAAATGCCCACAGATATAATGCCAAGTACGGACCTCCTATCTGCAGTAAAACAGTTATTTCTCAAGGCTGTCCATATGTGAATAGTCACAGAAAGAAAACAAAACTACATTGAGCATAAAGTAAATAAAAAATCAAATATAGCTCCAATGCAGTAATTAATCTTAAGATGCTTTAATCCTTCCTTTTTCTCTTTTGGGTACCACTCTTTAAGGATGGTCATGAAGTTATACATATGTACCTGAACTATATATATGATAGCAGCAACAATAGGGGGACCAATCACAATAGTTAAGGCAATTCCTTTGATCATATCCCTAAAGAATAACCATATTGTTTGCTGCAAATAGAGTAAGGAGTTCAAGGTGAGGAATGTCAGACGAAAAAGTAGCATTACATGCAGAAGTTTGATAAATAGAGGGGAAAAAATGATATGATAGATGCAAATATGACCAAAAGTTTAATGCAGATAAATACCTTGTTGAAACCATGTCGAGCCTCAATCACAAAAGTGGAGTATAAAGAAAATGGCAAATCAGTTATCTGCAGGGTGCACACAGGTTTCAAAACAATTACATAGCTGAAACGACATGAGAATGCATCCTATCATCGAAGTGGGGAGAATATCGGACGCAATATGTAGTGATCTGATAAACAAATCCATAAAGCATTTGCTTAATCTTCAAAAAAAGAGTTGAAGCTTAGGCTTATACACACCTGTGACCAAAACATAACACCAGCTAAAAATGCAAGAGTGTGCAAAATCTCATTTTCGGCATTGAGACCAGCATATACCAAAAATTCTCCAGATCTCTGCAGTTAAAGAGACAATAGTACACAATAAATAAATAAGTTACTCAAATGGAGGTTCCAAATCATCAAAGAAGGCTTGTTGAAAAAGCATTCACCTTCCAAAACCAGGGTAAGATCCTAAAGTACAGAATTCCGGAATCCATGACTATGGTTAAAAATTCATGCACAAAATGGAAATAACTGTCAAAGACAAAATAGAAATACCAAAGATCAGTTATTCACATAGAAAACAAGTGTCACTATCATAATCTAAGAGGAATGCATAAACAACTGCTCAAACCTTTTGTCAAGACTATAAGCACGAGATTTTTCGAACTTTTCTTGACTGATTACTCCTAACAGAGGTTTTGGAAGAGTTGGCAACTTAAGAGCAGCATGCTGCCGCCGATCAAGATATGTCTCAAACATATACATAAGTATCATAAAACCTGAACCATCCAAAATTCAAATCAGGAATAAGAAAGCAAGTAACCCATTTCAGTGCATTTATGAGCTGCAGATTATCATCACTTCAAAAACAAAGTAAAATTATTGAAAAATGAAAACCAGAAAACAAAATGAAAGAAATTTCTAATAAACACAGTAGTACTATATTATCTTGCAGCTAAACCAACTAAAAACTTTGAACTCATGTGTCCTAAATCCACTCTCATTCTCATGTACATTAGAATGCCGCATATTCGATAACTCAGTAATTTTTACCCAACAAGGACCAAAATTGTCCCATCAAGAATAAACTCATAAGCATTCCAAACTGAAATATAAACCCACTTCACTAACCCTAATATATATAAATAAACGAGGCTCATTAAATTCAACAAACGACAAGAGCTGACAATCCCACGCTGGCATACATGGACAATAAAATAATAAAAAACCCTAACCCCCACTACCCAAATACAATCACACGCACACGCACAAAAACCGACTAAAGGGAAAATATCCCAGCTCCCGACGGGGAATAAAATGTCACAAAAATCCTAAAACTAATTGCTGCAAGCGTGTAGAACCCTAAGCTCATCCAAGCTGCGGTAACACAAAATCAAAGAAAAACGAAGCTGAAGCGCGAATATGTGCGTGCGTCAATAAGTATTGAGTATGGAATAAGCATTCGAAAGAGAGGAGCAAGTGGATTGAGGGATGCCATTCATACCGACTACTGCCTCCATGAAAGGAAACGCCATGACGATTGACAGGGAGAATCGCTTGGAGTGGTTCTGGCCTCTTTCTTCAACTTCTTTTCAGTTTATGCAGATTTTCCAAGCCAAGCCAAGTATTTAAATTTTTAATTAATTAATTAATTAATAATGATTATTATTATTAGGAACTGCCATAGTCGGTGTGATTCGGATCGGATCCAAAATGATAAGGGTAGGCTTAGGAACGGTAACGGGTTGGGTCTGTATGACCGGACCCGAGACCCGACTAATTAGATGAAACTATATCCGGATCCCACCTAGACTCGATAGACTTGAGGGTGTTTGATAATTATTTATCGGCTGGGGCTCAATCTCATTGTGCTGAACCGTACACGCTAAAGGTTAGTAACAACATATTATTTATATTAATATAATACAAACACAGCATATAAATTAACAGTATATATATAGCTAACAAACAACACACGGTAATATTAATGATACTATATTATTTATATTCATATAATACAAACACAACATATGAATTAACAACACATCATAGAGTCTCACACAGTACATGCAATAATTAATTTCATCACATAATATATACATGTACAACACACATGTAATTATAAACAAACAACACATGTCATTATTACAAACATCACATGTCATTATTACAAATATCACGTGTTCGACATACTTTTAGTAATTTTTGAGTATTTTTTTCACATTTATGTTTCATTTGAGATGTAGATATATGTATCACCTATAATTAGAGACCTAATTTGTTCAATTTGGATATACAATAAATTTAAGAAATTTAATGTATATATTTACTTTTGGCACAAATTTTGAAAAATAATGATATTTTAATTATAATATTCAATTTTAAAATATTACATTTACCTATAATAATATATTTATTTTTTGCACTTATTTTTTGTGTAAAAGTAATGATGTAATTTGATCTAGTTACTTTTTAATTGGACAACTCAAAATAGAAAATAAAAATATGTATTTGTGAGTAACGAAAAGAGTATAATTTTCTAAAGTTACACACTTTATTTTTTGATGGAAAGTCTGTTTAGTTTGTGTAACTGGTTTTATGCTCTTTCTGAAGTTGTTTTTGTATTTTTATTTAATTACGAATATAGACATATGTGTTAGCTTTACTTAAAGAACAACTTTGTCCCATTTCAGTGTAAAAAATATTTTTAATGATTTTTACAATAAAATTGTTTTAGTTTTCGGAATTGAACAAATTGTGTGAGTTAAGATGATATTTTAGATGATTCAAACGATTAATTGAATTTTTAATCTTTAAAATAAAATTTAGGGATGTTAGCTTCGATTTGGAACAAATTTCATAATGGTTGGGCTAACAATAAATTTACGGTGAATTTTTATAAGATTTGTGTTAAATTAGAATAAGTTGATTGATCATGCTTAATGATTAAATGAAGTCCGATCGAATCATATTCTACGAGTACATGAAAATTGAATTAGTTAGCTTAAAATTGATCAATGAGACATTCTCATAATACTACAACTTTAGGGTTATAATAATGCTTCTACCTAAAGAATTAGGTCAATACAATAGTTATATAATTAACTAGTGGTTATACAACGGTTTCTATAAACTATTGAAGTGATATTATGAGATACTAATTTATTTTAATTTTAAATAACAAATAAGTAATAATAAAACTATCGATTTAAAATTATAAAAGTATTAGTAAATAATCAAAACATCAAATCGAAACTATAAAATTACAAATATAGCAAAACAAATAATTACATGCACAATAAATAACAAAATATCTGCAATATATATACATAGTATTAATAAGTATCAAAACAACAAAATCAAAATGGCGGAATTATTAGTAGATAGTTAAAGCACCAAATCAATATGGTAAAATACAACAAAATAAAAAAAAAAAAAAAAAAAATTACTTGTCGAACAAATGACGGACTATATGCAAAATAAATATTTAAAAATTTTGAAATAATTATTAATTTAATGTATAATATTTAAATTCACATTTACAATTATAGTTATTAAATTTTACATACAATAAAAAATAAAATATCAAAATTAAAATTAAAATTAAACTGCTAAGTATTTTTCTTTCTTTCTTTTGCTTTCTCTCTTCTTCTTTCTCTGCATTCCCTTCCTTCCTGCTTTGAAGGTTTGGTTTATTTTATTTAGTTTATATATTTATACATATATTATTATATTACATTATTATTATTTTTAATTAAAGTCCAAAATAACATATCTAAATATTACTCCTTCTGTCCCATATATTTTGGGTGCGTTAATGTAGATACGAGAATTTAGGTAAAGTATAATTAATAGATAATTAAGAAGTGTATTAGTAGAAATAATTGTTATTTAGTAAAAATAATTATAAATTAGGATTAAGATAAGTAAATAGTTTAATTAAGATTTAAAAAATTATAAAAATTAAAAATTAAAATGTGATTAAAGTGGATAATCATATTTCCAAAAAAGGAAATAACAAGTGATGTGGGACAGACGAAAATAGAAAAATAGCGTTTTTCACTTACCGGTCCACCACCGTACTTCTGGTTTCTCTTTGACCTATGTGATTAAAATAAATAAAAAAAAAGGAAAAGAAAAATACAAGACAAATATAATAGTTAAAAATTTAGGAAGGCAAATTCAATATAATTGTAGTATTTTTTATTTTTATATTAAAAATATTTAAAAATAAAAAAGTAGAGTTTAAAAAATTTAAAATTTAAAGGAGACAAATTCAATATAATTATTTTATTTTTTTACATTAAAAAATAAAAAAGGATAATTGGGGCTTAGGGGCAACTACCCCCAAGTCCCAATGTAGCTACGCCAGTGGTTCCAATTGCACCTCTACACAACGCAAGCCTCCAAATAAATAGAGACCCTCAACAAGTTCCCCCGAGACGAGCACCTGTGAAATAGCGTATGAACGTCCGCCTGAGCCAGAATGAGTTGACCATGAGGCCATTGCGGAAATAGTTCAACAGATTTACGGTCATCCTTTGCACATGTGTGCACGGCCACACTATCAATGGTCCTAAATGACGTATTAGACAAGCATCTTCTCCTACAAAGTGTACTTATTACAGAGTTTACTTTTGTAATATTCTATATTTTAAAGTATATAAAATAATATTATTATATCGAATAAGCATTTTGAAAATTTTAATAAGAATAATATATTTCTAATATGTCATAAATTTTATTAATATTTTATATATGAAGTATAATTAATGAGTAATATTCTCTAAATTTAATGCTCAATATAAAGAAGACTATTATTTTGGAATGAAAAAAAATATTATTTACACTCTTAAAAATTATTTAATAGTTAGACATATCAAATACAGTGTTTACTTTCCAAATGATAAATTCAATCAAAAGCATAACAAATTTTACACAATATAAACTCTTCCAATTAAGAAGGTAATAAAAAAATATATATGGTTAAGAATGAGAAAAAATATTCCGCCAAATTTTACACAATAAATAAACTCTTCCAATTAAGAAGATAATAAAAAAATATATATGGTTAAGAATGAAAAAATATATTCCGCCAAAATTATGTCAATATTATTTATTTATTGTTTGCTAAATATATATATAATCTATTTATAATAAAATCTTTTATCCACTAATAATTCTATTAGTTTACATTACTAAATAATAACAATTTTGGCACTATATTATTCACCCATTTTTATTTTTTTTACCAATCTCTTTAATAAATTTTTCATGATATACTCCTATTACTTTTAGGAGAATGTATTTAATTATGATTTTATAGGATTTTATTAGACTTTTTTTCAAATTTTTAGAAGTCTTTTATAATCCGGAGGTATTCAATTCAGATTTTTAAATTTTTTTTAAAATATGGAGGTATTCAATTCAAATTTTTAAAAGTTGTTGTATTCAATCCATAGACTTTAAAAGCATGTGAATTTTATTGGATTTTAAAGGAAAGTTACGTATAAATTGTATAGTATAAAATCTCTCATGATAAGCAGAAATTTTGACAATGAGATATTATTCATCTCCAAATCCATTTTATCTTATTGTCATTTTACATTTGTTAAAGTAATAATACATACACATAATAAAATTATGCTAAAATTCTAATTTATTAAAACAAATTAATATATTGAATAATAATATAATAAAAAGGGTAAACTGTTTTTTTAGTCCCGTAACTGGATCTTATTATCATTTTAATCCCGTAAGTGGAGCCTGTCGCAAACTAGTCTCATAAGTGAAAAATTTTCGTTGTTTTAGTCCTCCGGCGCCGGAGACGCCTGCGTGGCTCGCTGGAGACCACGTGTCCGCCAGGTCAGCGACACCTGGGGGACACGTGGATTTTATTTTTTATTTTTATTTTTTAATTTTTTCTAAAAATTTATTTTTAATTTATTTTTAAATTTTATTTATTTGGTCCAATTAAAAAAAATTAAAAAAATTAAAAATAAAATAAAATTCATGTGTCTGACAGGTGTCGCTGACCTGGCGGGCCACCTGGCAGACACGTGGCTTCCGGCGAGCCACGCGGGCGTCTCGGGCGCTGGAGGACTAAAACAACGAAAAATTTTCACTTATGGGACTAGTTTGCGACAGGCTCCACTTACGGGACTAAAATGATAATAAGATCCAGTTACGTGACTAAAAAAATAGTTTGCCCCTTGTATGCACTCACCAAAGGGTAATAGGATTATTCACAAACTCAAAGGAAGCTAAAGAGTGATAAATAGGACAATGGAGCTTTTATTTTCATGTTTGGAAGGATGAGTATTTTAATGTAATCTTCTATCCAAACTCCAACATTGTTTCCTTTGAAAAGCTCTTTGTTGAAAATCAATACAACTATAAACTGTAGTCTCTGTTAGTGTTTGTTCCTTGTTTCACTCTCTTTTCACTTGCTATATAATTTGAAAATAATATCCATTTACATTTGGATCGTGAGTGTGCGAGATTTTTCAAATGCAGGTTAGAACTTTATATGAGAAGGCTAAGGAGGTGCTAATGTTTGAAAGTAATGTCCAGGTATCTTTTCTTCATGATTTTTTTGTATTGTTAACATTATTAGTGGATGAAAACAATG